GAGGTTGTTTATGATCCTTTTGATGATTGTGATTTAAGTTCATTGGATGATGAAAATTGTGTTCTACTTTCAGAGAATTTTGTAAAGTTTTTAAAGAAAAACATGAAAAAGTCTCATAATAGTGGTTATGGTCGAAAACCTTTTGTGAAAAAGCCTTATGACCATCAAACCCCTATTACCTTTACAAAGAAATTTTCAAAAGATAAAGAAAAGAAAAATAAAGGTATCAAGTGTTTTCAATGTGAGGGTTTTGGGCACATACAGTCTGAGTGTACTAACATACTGAAAAAAAAAAAAAGGTATAGCCATGGTTGCTACTTTGAGTGAGAGTGACCATGATGAGAGTGATGATGATGATTCAGGTGGTGATGAGAATGTTTTAGCCTTCACCGTAAATCAAGAAGAAGGTAAGAGTGAGGATTCAGATGAAACTGTTGATTTCTATGCTGAATAACAAGAGGCATATGATAAAATGTATGACCAATGGCTAAAGGCTGTGAAAAAAATTACAATCTCTTGGTATTGAGAATGCTACCTTGTTGAAACAAAAGAAAGCCTTGTCCAAAAAGATTGTTTTTCTTACTTCTAAACTAACTGAGGCTAAGGCCATTATTGATAAGTTGAATAGAGGTTCTCTTAAGCTTGATGAAGTCTTTGGTCAAAGAAAATCCTTCAAAGATCGGTATGGTTTGGGATTCAGTCCTGGTGCTAGCACATCAAAAGCTGGTGCGAGCATGTTTGTGAAAGCCACCGAAACTTCTACTGAAGGAACTGTTGTGAGATAGGTTAGAAAGGTATCAAAATTCATTCCTATTTGTCATTTTTGTAACAAAAAGGGTCACATCAGACCCAAATGCTTTACGTTCATTGTTTATTTAAAGAAAGTTTTTAAAAACCATAGTTTTGTTGCTAATGTAAATCATAATGCTAACAATGGTTTTTCTTCCAAAAGAGTACGGAGACCTAAGGCTGATGTGAACTGTTTTGTGTCTCATACTTCCTTGCATGCATTTTAAAATGATCTTTGGTATCTAGACAGTGGTTGTTTAAGGCATATGACAAGTAATAAATCTCTCTTGACTGAACTTGAATCGGTTGATAGTGAACATGTCACTTATGGTGATGGAAAGAAAGCTAAAATTCTTAGAAAAGGGTCAATTATGCTTCCTGATTTTCCTATTTTGAAAGATGTCTTACTTGTTGATGGCTTGAAAGCTAATTTGATTAGTATTAGTCAAATTTGTGATAAAGATTTTGTGGTTCAATTATCAAAGAACAAGTGTCAAATCTTGAATGATAAAGGTGTTTCTCTACTTGAGGGAAAAATGTCAAATGACAATTGTTACTTGCTTTCTAACCGTGTGTCATGTTTCAGTTCAAAAATTGATTCCACTAATTTGTGGCATGAGAAACTTGGTCACATGAACTTCAAGGACTTGGTGAGACTTTAAAAAAAAGGAAGTGGTTAAAGGACTCCCAAAACTTGAACTTCCAAAAGGTAATGTGTGTGGTCCATGTCATCAAGGTAAGCAAACCAGGATATCTCATAAAGCTTTATCTAATCTCAATGCCTCATGTGTTTTGGAACTGCTTCATATGGATCTAATGGGTCCTATGCAAACCAAGAATTTGGGAGGTAAGAGGTATGTGTTTGTTTGTGTTGATGATTTTTCAAGGTATGCTTGGGTTGATTTTTTGCATGAGAAATCTAATTCTTTCAATGCATTTCAGAAGTTGGCCAAAAGGTTGCTTGTTGAGAAGAGTTCTAAAGCTACAAAGATAGAGAGAATAAGGAGTGACCATGGAAAAGAATTTGATAATGCTGATTTTGATAATTTTTGTGAATTGCAGGGCATATTTGATGAATTTTCAGCACCAAAAACACCTCAACAAAATGGTGTTGTGGAAAGGAAAAACAAAATGCTTCAAGAGATGGCTAGGGTGATGCTTAATGCCAAAAAGCTTCCTACAAGACTTTGGGCAGAAGCTATTAACACGGCATATCATATTTCCAACAAAGTTTACCTTAGAAAAGGTACTATTCAAACTCCCTATGAGTTGTGGAAAGGTAAGAAACCAGATCTTTCTTACTTTCATGTGTTTGGATGCAAATTTTACATCTTGAATGATAGAGATAATTTAGGTAAGTTTGACTCTAGGAGGGAAGAAGGAATTTTTATTGGATATTCTTCCAAGAGTCGTGTATTTAGGATCTATAACATATGTTTTGAAAAATTCTTAGAATCCATTAATGTTGTGTTTAGTGATGCAGAAGATTTTTTGAAATACTCTCAAGAATGTGAAATTCAAGACATATTTGTTCCTCATGTGCCCACACAAGATGGTGTAAACATTACTAAATCTCCTGAATCTAAACCTTCGTCAAATATGTTGTCACCTATTTTTTGGTGCTACAGCAACATGATTTGCTATGTGTAAAGAATCATCTACTAATTCATCATTGCAAAATGAAAGGATAGAGTTGGTTATTGATCTTTCTAATGAAAGCATTCAAAGGAGAAATCAAAGAAGAAAAGATCCACCAAAATGGGTTCAAAAAGCTCATCCACCTTCAACCGTGATTGGAGATCCAAATGAGGTAATGATTATAAGAAGGAGAAGACAAAATGAAATTAGCCATCTTTGTTATGTGTCTCTTGCAAAACCGAAGAATGCCAAACAAGCTTTAGAAGATGAAAATTGGATTGAGGTGATGCATGAAGAAGTGGAACAATTTGAAAGAAATGATGTTTGGACGCTTGTACCAACACTAGAGGGAATCAACATAATAGGTACCAAATGGGTTTTCAAAAATAAAATTGATGAGTCTGGTAATGTTGTTAGGAATAAAGCTAGGCTTGTAGCTTAAGGATATACTCAAGTTGAGGGAATCGACTTTGATGAAACCTTTGCACCTGTTGTTCAACTTGAATCAATCCGATTACTGCTTTCTGTTGCCTGATGCCTCAAGATCAAATTGTTCCAAATGGATGTCAAAAGTGCCTTCTTGAATGGAATGCTCACCGAAGAAGTGTATGTTGAGCAACCAATTGGCTTTCAAGACCCTCACAAACCTAATCATGTATTTAGATTGAAGAAAGCTCTTTATGGTTTGAAACAAGCCCCATGGGCCTGGTATGAAAGGTTGACAACTTTCCTTCCTAAGCATAACTATGAATGAGGTAATGCCGACAAAACCCTCTTTATCAAGCATGCTAACAATGAAATCATGTGTGTGCAAATTTACATTGATGATATTGTGTTTGGTTCTACATCTCATTCACATGCACTTGAATTCATTAGCCTCATGAAAAATGAGTTTGAGATGAGTATGATTGGGGAATTGAATATGTTTCTTGGACTTCAAATTAAACAAATGAATAATGGCATATTTGTTTCCCAATCAAAGTATGTTAGAAACATGTTGAAAAGTTTTGCTTAGGAAATACAAAGCATGCTAGTTACCCTATGAGTGCTACCCTTAAACTGTCCAAAGATGAACATGGTAAAAAGGTAGATAATAAGAAGTACCAAAGCATGATTGGAAGTCTTTGTTACTTAACTACAAGCCATCCTGATATTTGCTTTAGTGTTGGTGTTTGTGCTAGGTTCAAACTAACCCTTCTAAGTTGCACTTGAATGCAGTGAAAGAATCATGAAATATGTTTCAAGTACCTGTGATTTTGGCCTTTGGTACTCATTTGATTCTAATAGTTGTTTGGTTGGATACAGTGATGCAGATTGGGCAGGAAGTTCGGATGATAGAAAGAGTACTTCAGGTGGATGTTTCTATCTTGGAAACAATCTTGTCACATGGTACAGTAAGAAGCAAAATGCAATCTCCCTATCCACTACCGAGGCTGAGTACACTGCCGTAGGGAGTTGTTGCACTCAAATTTTATGGTTAAAGCAAATGTTGAATGATTATGGTGTTGATCAAGATTGTGTGACAATTTTTTGTGATAACACGAGTGCCATTAACAGCTCTAAGAATCTAGTCCAGCATTCTAGGACTAAGCACATTGACATAATACATCATTTCATTAGAGAGTTAGTTGAGGAGAACATCATTTCACTTGCTTATGTGAACACAAACTCCTAATTGACTGATTTCTTTACTAAAGCACTTGATTTTTCTCGAGGACGTCCATTGGACTAATTCAACTTGAATAGGTTTTCATTTCAGTTGATGAATAAAGCATGAACATGCTACTTTTATTTTTGTTTGTCAAGATTCCTTGATCTATGCTAGCATTCTAATTGTTATTTATTTTCTCTTATCTGTGTGCTAACTAGTATGTTGTGTCCACTAAGACTCTCTCTATAACATGATCTTATCTCATCATGAGATGTTTGTCCATTCTTGTCACCATTATGAAAGAGCTACCTTGCATGATGTGTGAAAGTTGTTTTGAGTAATTTTCAGATTTGCAGAGATGCTTATATCTTGGAAAATCTACCATTAAGAGAACTACCTTCTTGCAAGTGTGACAGCTACATTTTGGTTATGTTTATGAGAGTTATTTGCCCTTTGATAAAAATAAAAAGAGAAATCTTTATTTTCTATGCTGAAAAAGAAAAATGCAAATATAGTTGGGTATGAGGGAAAGGGGAATTTCTCTTGCAAAATTTAAAATTGACCAATGTGTCATTTTATCCTCTTGAGGACACTATCACATACCAAGACAAGCTCTTGGAAATTTATCTCTCTTGTGTGTGATTAAGGAAGTGTTGTTTTTGATTGCAATATGTTGACAACTTCCGTATGAGTTTTTGTGCCTTTTAAGATTGAAAAATTTGAATTGTTAGGATGATTTGCACAAATTGATTGTCTTGACCCTCAAAAATTCATGTGAAGCATTTCATCATTTTAATTTTATGATTTTAAAATTGTTCAATAAAGTCAAGTCTTTTGAAAATTTCTAGTGCCAACTTTGTTCTCTGTTCCTCACAATTTCTTTTCTCTCAAAATTTCACTGATTTTTCTTTGTATTTCTCTCATGGATTCAAGAAAGAAAGCTATTGAGAACCCGAAAAGGAAGTCCATGGAGGAATCACTCAAGAAGGGATTTCAAGACCTGAAGAAATTCACCAAGAAAAAGGCAATAAAAGAGAAAATGCCACTAGAGTCTGATTTTGCAACACCAGAGGAGTCCTATGAGGAAGAGACCAGCCATACATCCTTACTTGTTTCTTCCCCTGTTTCCAGTGATAACCAGGACTCCATGCACTCACAGAAGAAGTCTGCGTCTACCTCACCTGAGAAGTTGCCTGAAAAATGCTCTTCGGTGTTAGACGAAGCCTTAGAAAAAATGCCTATAACCACTCTGAAGTTGCACAAGGAAGGTTTTTCAAAAGCCATGCCTTCAAAGCCTCTGACTCTAGCAAAATTGGCGAAAAGGAAAGGAAAACCGTCATAGAGGAGCCTTCGTCTGTAAAATCTCTTCTTTAGTTTTACATGCTACTGAAGTTAGATTTAAGAGCCACATTGTCAAGAAGACAATTGTGTGTGAAGCAAATGTTAGGTTAGAAGATTTTGATGAATTCCATGCAATGATGAAGGAAAGGAATTGGTTAGGAACTGTCACTAGTTTGATTGCCTCTGTCCAAACTCTTGTTCAAGAGTTTTATGCCAATTTTGGCTTAGATAATGTTGAACCAAATTCAAATGAACACAATGATAGAGTCTATGTTAGAAGACATTGGATCCTGTTTACAAAGGAAGTTGTTAGGGATGCTCTTGGTTTGAAGAAGATCAAAAAGAAGTTTGATTTAAAGAGTTTAGACTTAGACAAAATTGTCAAAGTGATAACTGGTGGTTCAATTGTTGTTTGGCCGAGAACTGGTGTTCTTCAGCCTGGTGTGCTCACACTGTTTTACAGACTATTGTTTAAAATGTCACTGACAAATTGGTCTCCTTCCATGTACAATTCAACTGTTAGACCAGAACGAGCACAACTCCTTTATGGAATTCATCAAAGGAAAAAGATTGATTTGGCTGAGTTGATTTTTACTAGTATTAGAGTTACAGCGCAATCAACTCATTCTCTGTAGATTTTGTGTTTTCCTTCTTTAATCTACAAGGTCATTTCCACTTACAAGCCTAAATCCTATGAAGTGGAACTTGTTTTGAAAATAAAAACTATCATCAAGAAGTCTTTTGGACAGCCTACAGGGAACTTGCCCTCATCTTTCTTGATTGATCAATCAAGGACTAGCACTTGGCAGTCCAAGCTTTTTGTTACCATGCAAGACTTGGAAACTTCAATGGAGTCTGTGCTTCAATATGTGGAGGAAATTCACATTTCTCTCTGTTCTCAAATGGACAAAATGGAGGCTAATCTGAAGAAAAAGCAAAAGAAGAAAAAGAATGTGGTACCTCCAGTTGCTCCTACTGTCATTCCTACTCCTGCCATGCCTACTGAAGATGTTGGTCCTGAGATTCAAGTTGAAAAAGAACAAGCAATTGATGAAGATGAGAAAGACACTGCTGATAAGGAAGAAGAAAAAGCTAGTAATGAGGATGACCAAGAACCTGCTGATGAAGAAGATAAAGCCCTTGAAAATGTAGTTGCTTAAACAGATTCCCATGTGTGCACTGACGATGCCCCTCTAATTCAAGGTGAAGGTGCTGTCACCTCCTCTACTACTGTTCCAGAAGTTCAAGTGGAGGACTCCCATTTCACCATCACTGCCCCTCCAAAACGTAGAACCAAGAGGAAAGCTGGACGCTCTTCTCTACCCTCTCGAAAGTCTTCAACACTTATGAAAAAAAGGGGAGTAAGAAGTTTTTCTGTTATCTCTCCATGGGGGAGTTTGTTACTTTGTTTGCTACTATTTTAGTTTTTGTTTCTTCTAAACTCCTTAGTTATCTTATATTGATGTTTTATTTGTTTTATGTATTAACCATGTGTTTACATTTGTGTTGGTTATTTTGTTTGTATGGTTGTTTGTGCAAATATGCAGATTTAATTGGTTGATTGAAACAAGTTTGATCTTAATATTTTTTATGTTCTTTATTCATAAGTTTGACAAAGGGGGAGAATGTGGAATATTCATATCTGTCAAACTTATGAGTTATGAGTTATGTGTGCACACTGGTTGCCAATCTTATGATTTGACTTGTTTCATCTGTAGTGTGGGTGCACATTAGTTCTGCGTGCATACTAATTGCCAGATTTGTGTCTTGGCTTGTTTTGTTTCGAGTGTGTGTACACAACAAGTTGTGCTTACACTTTCGCTTCAGATATTCGCAACCCAACACGAGTTGCATGTCTGATAAAGTGAAAGAGATATTGTTTATCTTTGTCTCTTACGTTTTGAGACCTTTTTTACATGTGTCATTGTATCCTTAAGTGGTCCTAGGGAATAAAACTCTTTTCCCGATTTGTTTTGTGGTCCAAACCAAAAGAAGGAATACTTTCCTTATTTGGATAAACATTGGTTAGTCCCTTGTTGGCTGACTTGGCACTATATTGTTAAGTAAGAAATCCTTCATTATATAATATTCTTTCTAGCGTGTATGAATGTAACCTGTTGACATTTTGTTTCATTGTACTCTGAATTTCTTAGAGTATTCTTTCTCTTAAGGTTCAAGGTTCATTGCCATTATGTGCTAAAACCTTACCATATCAAACATAGACTTGATGGCTCTTGGAATGTGGTTTCTTTACTGATGCTGGTGCATGGCGTCGGTGCTTGAAGCTTAGTGTTTCACAAGCTATTCTCGAGTGTGTTCCCGGGGTGAAGAAGATCCCAAGAGTTGCTACACGTTAAGGATTCAGAATGTGGTGCTAACTGTAAAGTTGAACAAGGAGTTCTTTTTACTGTAAATTAGATCAACTTTGAACATTATCTTGTAATGTGTTTTTGACTTAGTGGATTGCTTCTATCTAGACAAGGTCCCATGGATGTAGGCTAAAAGTGGATTCAGCCGAACCATGTATATGGTTGTGTTCTTTATTTTTTGCACTTATGTTTGATATGTTCAAATTGGATTTGTATAATCTACTTAGTAAATATTCCGCTGCACTTTAAAATAGGTACTTAAACACCAAAGTGAGTTGACCAACTCCAACAGTCTTCATCTGCTTGGTCAATTCCAAAACCTGTATTGCTAATTCAGTGTTAGTATTCACTTCATACATTCCTCTAGATCTACCTCTAACACGTTTTTGCTATGAATTGGCTCCAAACATCTCATATAGCTCATACGTCTCTTGTGCAGTCTTCTCTCACATAGCACCACCTACAGCATTATCAACTATGGCTTGACAAGCATGTGTTAGTCCATCATAGAATAATTGATTCAACAACTCTAAAGGATATCTATGATGGGGACACTAAACTAAAAGCAATTTAAAATGTTCCCAAACTTCATGGAACGGCTCACCTTCAATTTGTGAAAAAGTAGCAATCTTACCTCTAAATTCTGTAGTTTTGGCATGGGAATAAATTTTACCTATGAATTTATTGTAGATTGCATCCCATGTGGTAAGTGAAGCTGGGGCCAAAGACATGTACCATGTCTTTGCTACATCCTTCAACGTGTATGGAAAACACCTTATTCGTAGTTGATCATTTGTCAAACTCTGCAAAGGAAAAGTCTGAACAGTAGAATAAAAATCACAAATAAAAGTTAAAGGATCCTCTGAAGCTACTCCATGAAAAGATGGAAGCATTTGAAAGCGAATATGTTTAAGCTCATAATTTCTTGCTGCATCGTTCAGGACTATGCACGATGGTGACGTTCTTATGATAGGATGTGCGGACTCCTTTAGGGGTCAAGGTAACTTAACCATCTTTTCTTCAATCTCTGAACTTGATTATGATGATTATTTAGAAATTTCTAGTACCTTCCTCTTTCTGCCAATTAAATCCACTCCATTAACATGTGGAAATAATTCTTCTTCTAATGATCGATGACCTTGCATTCACTAACTAAAAACACAAAAGACAACAAAAACAAAAAGGTAACCTAGACAAAAATAAAGCAAAAGTTAAATAACAAAAATTAAAGCACACGTTATAAGAGAAAACTAAGTAACTTAAATCAAATCCCCGGCAACGGCACCAAAAACTTGATGAACAATTTTTCAACCTCGCGAGTGTACGAATCGCTATTGTAGTCTACTGTGCAAAAGCAAGGGTCAACCCCACAGAGATTTGTAAGCACTCAATTAATCCTAATATACTATGCCTTAATTAAACAAATAAAGTAAACAAAATTCTAAACAAAAGAAATTAAACTAATTACTAAGGAAGCAAAATAAATTCTTAGCCAACCGAATTAAATAACACAATTAAAAATTATTTGAAAACCAATGATGAAAAACCTAGGTATCCGATTTCACCATAACAATCTGATTCTCTACTAATAACTAATTTATTGTCGTGTCAATCCAATTCCTAGGGTTCTGTCTTCCATTAACTTGATATTATTGTTTGATGTTCGGGTTTAACCAAGTATTCTTAACCATTAAACTCACTAGGATGTTTAGTAAAGCCTAACAATAAAGAACCCATTAAGAAGAACAATTACTCAAAATATCAACCAAATTGTATCTAGCCTGATGCTTGCCTCAACACAATCCAATCATTCAAAAGAGCTATTCAAGGTTTGCATATTATGTTTACCTTACCTTGTCTCAAACAATCAATTGTTTTTATATTTCAAAGTTAGCATATGATGTTACCATACTTATTTCATACAAAACATCAAGATCGAAAACTAGAAATATATTGAATCAATAGAAAAATAAAATTAATCAAAGCATAAAACCTTCATGTTAGGTTACATTGGATCCCTAGAAAAGTATTTAGTTACACATTGTCATAAGGAAATCAAACCTCCAACCCTTCAAAAACATGAAGTACAAGAGAAAAAGATGAAACCCTAGGTAGATCTCTTCTCCTTGTCTCCAATTCTCTCCAAGCTAAAGTCTCTTCTCCTTGCTTCTTTCAAAAGTTGAAGTCTCTCTAAAAAATACTTAAAGACATCCTTTTATAGTGCTAGGGTTGTGGGAAAGTAATGGGGAAAATCCTATACAAAATAGGAGAATAAAATTCGGATTAATTTAAGTAGAGTCCTTGTAGAATTAGGATTCCTGTGTTGACCCTCTGGTACTAAAACTAGAATATCTTTCTCTAGAAAACTTGGAATATCAAACCGTAAAATTCTACATAAACTAGACTTCAAAATGTTTAAAAAATATGTGCAACAGTGCCTAGTTTGTGCTGAAGAATTTATGGTAGCTTCGTGAAATTTCTGTTTTCTGTCTGTTTCTCCTTTACAGTTGCTACTGGAAAATTGTGCGCTGAAAGACTTCCACTTTTTAGTATGAAAACGTCTGAATCTGAAACACCCATAAAAATTTAACTGTAAATATTTTAACCATATTTCCTATGGTCCAAGAATCATCCCAATCTGAGGTCTTTAGCTCAAGTTATCGTAGCAACACTGAGGCATGTACCAGAACCCACGTCTACTTGTCTTCCACGCACTAACATAACTCTTGGATCAATGTTTAACCATCTTCCAGGTCTAATTGGATCACGAACACATAAAATTTATAGACCTATCTCTTATATTTCAAACTCCACCATAATTAGGTGAATCGGAGCTGTGTAGCTAAAGTTACACCTATTTTAGTGCAACATGTTCACTCACGTTGCTGCACAAAAATCCTCCGTAATGAACAATCTTCAAATATTTATAACTTCTTCGTTTGAGCTATGATTCTTGAACCATTTGTTCCTACATGATTTTGATTCTTTACTTTTTAATGTACATGCTCAAAATCCTAATTTTTCAGCACCTAAATACCTGAAAATTCATAAACATACCTATGATTCTAGAAAACAAAGAAGTACCGAAATTAAGTAAAATTAGCAAATTAAACCTAATTTCCACACAACATAGCCTTAAAATCACAAAGTATGAGTGCACTTTCAAGAACTCATTAGTCATCCTCTAGAAAGGTAGAAATCGTATTGATAATCACTTTCTTGTCAGTCTGACTATAAAAATAGTACCCTCTAGTACCTTTTGGGTACCCCACGAACATACATATCTTTGACATCACATTCAACTTGCTCTTACTGTCCTTTAGTACATATGCTAGACACTCCCAAACATGGATATGGTGTAAACTAACTTTATGACCTGTCCATAGCTCAGCGGGCGTCTTGGGGACATATTTAGAAAGGACCAAGTTTAGCAGATATCCTACTATCTGTAGTGCATAAACCCAAAAACTATTGGGTAGCTTGGAATAATTCAACATGTATCTAACCATGTCCATTAGAGTTCTATTCCTTCTCTTTACAATACCATTTTGTTGTGGTGTTCTCGGTGCAGTGAGTTGGGTCAGAATCCCATTGTCCTTAAGGTAGTCATCGAACTCCTTAGATAGGTACTCGCCATCGCGATCTGGCCATAACAACTTGATACTTTTACCTAATTGCTTTTTGACCTGAATATGATATTCCTTGAACTTTTCAAAAGATTTAGACTTATGGTGCATTAGGTAAACATAACCGTATCTACAGCAACCATCGGTGAAAGTGATGAAATAATC